GAATTCAAGTCACTTTGGGATCTAATTGCCGACTTTTATGCCCCGAAGAATGACTATCTTCTTACTCCGACATTTAGTTCATCCTCCTATCCCAAATCCGAATGTCGAACTTGAGCCCGTAACACTGCATCCCAAGCACACTTGTAGCACGGTTAAATTGTAGGGTTCAGGAGTTTAGGGTTTAGTGTACTCCGACTCCGACAGTCTGTGCTCTAGTCCCAATTCCAGCCTATGTTTTCAGTTGATCATAGGTCCCAGTGTGCTTTTAGCCCGGGCAACACGGGGAATCTGAAGCCATGGTTTGATTTTTTCAGTGATGCTATTCGATTCTTTAGAAATCACAATCTTGTGAAAATCGCAAGCAAGCCGCTTGCGTGAGACCCCCCCCCTCATTAGGTGATCCAGGCCCTTACCGTGAAGGGCTTCATTCCTGCGCCCTTGGGAGGGCTAGGGTATATATATATATATATATATATTTATATATAGGTTTATTTATATGGAAAACATAAGTGGAACTTGCTACCTATACCAGATATTTACATCGGTATAGTTACGTACGGCTTCTTGCTATACTGGGACTTTAGTCTTCAGGGGGATATGAGTACCAATTCAGTATACTTATAGGGGCTCTAGTAGGACAACAAGGAGACATTAATGCTAATGTTCTGAAAAATGAATGCTTACTTCTTACGACCCTTTTTTAGGCCCAGCACCTTGGCCGACATGACCTTGCGCTTTTTGCCTCAGACAACCAGGCTTTCTAAAAGCGGCGCGATAGTGTCTAGGATTTGGGTGGAGGGTTGAGGCGGTCTTGCGAAAAGCAGCTCAACGACGAGGTGCTAGGGGGCGTAACAATTGGAGTTGGGCTTTGGGCCAAAAGGTCTGGGGTGTATGATTGTGTTAGGACCCCGAAGGAATACTGTGATGCATCACTCAAAATTGCCTTTTGCGACTCGTTTGAGTGTGGCCCCGGAAAACAGCAACAGATCCCTGAAAAGCAAGTGCAATCCTCGATGCGTTTGCCTTCAAGCATTCGATTGTCACGCACGCGAAGGCCAAGCCCAAAACACTAGGCCTGTGGCTATGGTAGTTTTTTCTCTTACAGTGGCTAGGGAAATTGACACTCTCACAGCGCTTGCATCGTTCCGCCTGGTTTACAATGCTATGCCTTGGCATCACATGCTGCGCTATGCTTCAGTTCAAATCTACCATGCTCTCTGCCAAGACCACCAAACATCCAGCAGCTAGGCTCCAAGCTGTGGTCTGCAGCTGCTGGCTCCTGACTGGCGCCGTGCTCCCATATGGGTACTTCTCTAAATTAGGATCCCGTTATAGACTCCCCAAAACAGGACCCTGAAAGGGAACCTAATTTAGAGAACTAGCCATATGCAACAACGGATGGTTGCTGCCGCATCAAGCACCGCAGGCTCCAAGATGTGGCTGCGATCCTTCCCTTTTGAAGCCTACATCAACACACGAGCAAACCCACACCCGACATCTACCACTGTAGACGCGGCTAATCCTACGGAGCCGAAGCATTGCTGACTGACGCGACATCCAGTGCTGTGATCAGATTCTCGCAGACTGAACCATACCGGCTTCATCCGGCTTCTAAGGCAGGTTGTAAGGTAGGTCCGTCGTGTGCTTCTCCGAACGCAACGGAAATCGCCACGAGGCCCCGACTGCGATTTGCGCTCCCCAGCAGTCTTGCATCCCTGGCTTCCGGGTTCAGGGTTCATGTGGGGGGGTGGCTTGGATTCCCTGGCTTTGGGTACCTTGCTGTGGAGGTGGCATCTTACAAGCCATGTCGCCCTTCTGAAACAGAGCACCCCAAACTCGCCCTGCGCCCAAAAGACTGAAAGCATAGGCAGAATGCGGTTTTGCGGTCTTGTTTACTATGGTTTTAGTGAAGAACCCTGAGGACTAGCATTTCTGATCACTCAGGCTGCTTGAAGAACCTTAAGAGATCCTGGCAAACTTTGCAAGTTTCGACCAAGCCCCATCGGCCCTTATCAAACCCTGCCTAGTCTTGTAAAACCCTGTCAAACCATGGCAAAATGTCAATATGCAATGATCTGTGAGGGCTTTTGAATGCAAAACACCTGTACAGCCGTATAAGACTCATTAAGACCCTACCACCCAGCTAACCCGTATAAGCGCCTAGACCAAGCTTAAAACAAACCCTAAACCCCTAGATCACCGGAGCAATCTTAAACCCCAAACCCTACAACCCTACGCCCCTAGATCACCGGAGCACTCTTAAACCCTAAACCCTACAACCCTAAACCCCCAGATCACCGGAGCAATCCTAAATCCTCGACCCTAAACCCTAGTCCGAGTCTGGGATCCTGGCAGAGCCAAGGAGCTTCCTCGCGCACTCGCTTAAGCTCAGGCGTGCTTTGAGGGTTACTTTTCGGGGTGTCGGGTGTATTAGGGCTTAAGTTTCCTTGTGGGGGGTCCTAATAAGGGGCTTTATAAGGGTGCTGCAACATAACAACCTTGTAAAGCTAGTGGCTAAGGGGGTGAGAGCTTGGGCAGCAAAAGTTGGTTTGAATGATGCGTCACTTCAGTGCCAGCTTGAGTTCACGCTGCGAACCTATGCAAGTTCGTGTGCCCACATGGTCAAGTTGCAAAAGCACTCGTGCACACAAACCTGCATTGAGCACTAGATCTTATACGTTTCGTTTGCTATGTGATCCAGCAGAGAGCTGGGCCGCAAGCAAAGAACTTGGAATGGGATTCCGGGCTCTTCGAAATGAACCATAATTGTAGACACTGGCGTGACATTATTACGGAATCGACGGCCTCCAGCCAGCTGCCATGCACCTTCACAGGTTCCGTCACTCAAGCTAGATTTAGGGTTTAGGGTTTAGGGTTTAGGGTTACCATCTACTATCTCCAAAATTATTTCATTCCGCTACACCGTTACCTGGCACCACAATTGCCAGGCGATGCACAGGTAAGATTTGCCATGGCTAGGCTAGGGGCTCAGGTCTGGAGATGGTGCAGGCTTGCAAGGGTTTAGGGTTTAGGGTTTAGGGTTTAGGGTTTAGGGTTTAGGGTTTAGGGTTGTTTTCACAAAACAAGTCTCAGCCCCTTGAATGTGTGAGGTTTGCTACGGAATCGAAGCTTGGCTGCCGTAGTGAACGGAACATCCCCATGCAACCAAACACCCTGCGAAGTGGATGCGCGGAACTGTGCCGACAGGCTGCTTCGCCGCTCGGGAGCATGCTGTCGGAAGGCAAACGGCCAAGCCGACTGTTCCCTGTTGCAGCTTTGATTGAGCCTTCACAGCTGCAAGTGCCAGTGAACTCAAAACGTCAAAAGCATCCTGTCTGTACGTGAAAACCGAAACCCTGACGTTGGAGCTGTAAGGATATCCAGCCATGTAGATTGCTCTCCGGATCTCCGCACTGCGTAATGCACCTGTCCTTGCCCCATGCGAAAAATAGCTTTCAATGCAAGCGATTCAATCACGCGGCCCTGCTGTGCAACGAATGTCGAGAGTTTGTATAAACAAGTGGCACTTGAAATATGCGCCTGGCATAAGTGCGAGTCCTGGATGCTACACAAAGTTTTACCTTGCAAGCTCCGGACGTCAAGCACCAGCCATGAAATCTATACAGGTA